AGGCCATCAGGGGCCCTGGCTTGCTACCCTGAGTAAGTGTCTCTGTCTCTCTCTCCAGACCAGCCCTCTCCCACCCTGACATAACTGAGAAGAGGAAGACTGGCCTGAGCACAAAAGCCCCTGAGGCTGGGAATCTGATGAACTGGGGCACCCACTTTTGCTCTCTCCCTCTCTCCTTCTCCTTTCAGTCAAGCCCTCAGTGATGGCCATGTATGTCCTACTAACTTCTGGCCCTGGAGCTTCAGGGCCAGTGTGTGATCAGTGTCACTAGGAATTGAGAACTGAGTTTATGGATTCACAGCTCCACTTCTTCAACCCAGAGGATGGGATGCATTTGGGACCCTTCCTGAGTCTAGCACACTTTATCATGCCTGTCCTCAATGACTATAATATCCAGACTATACCAAGGCTTCAAGAAATATCTTCATCTCCCCCAGAAAGGAGTTGCTCTAGTGCAACACCTCCCAACTTTCCCCCAAAGCCTTCTTTCCCAAGTTCTGTTGGAAATTACATTAGTCTTATCTTTAAGCAGCCTGAGGCTCCTTGAAGGAAGCACTCAGCTTTTCTTATCACCTCTGCCTCCTCAGTGCTGAAAAGGGTCTTACCATTCAAGCAAGCAGGCAGCACCCATGAAAACATATCTTCTGGCAGGGACTGCTCATTTGAAGTTCTTCCATTTTAACACCATCAGTGCTTCAACATGAGTCTACAATGGGGTTCTGGGAAGTGAGGACTCCTAGTCCTCCCCACAGAACTGGGTGAGGTGGAGGACTATGTCTTTCCATTCTGGGAAATGCCTCAGTACAGATGAGCCCAGTCACTCCTGGCAGCATATGGTGGGCACTGAGGTCAGGTAGCCTAGGCTGAGCCATGCTGTGTTTAGTGCTTCTGTGGGGAGAGGGGGCAGCATGACCCTCCTTTGTAGCTAGGAAGATCACAGGGGCAGGCAAGAGGAGGGCAGCTAGAAGAGAAGTGACAGGAGAGAGAGAGAGACAGAGAATCTGGGGAGAAGGGAGGTTAGGAGAAACTGGAAGGAAGAGACAGAGTGGCCAAGAAAATGGAGAGGGAAGATGTGGGGAGGACAGGAGAGAGAGAGAGAGGCACAGACGGGAAACAAGAACCAGAAAGATACAGACACAACATAGGAAGAGGCAGAGTGAAAATACACCTGGAGGCAGAGGTAGACCACAGAGACAGCCTTTCATTCTCATGATGGGTTCAGAGTGGGGAAGAATACAGTGCCCACCTCTGGCCAAACCACAGTGAGCTCATTTCCCTTCGCCTAGTTTCCAGTCTCTCCTAACAGGACTTGTCCCATCATGCATGCATGGGCATTTGTGATCATTTTGGACGGCCCAGGATTTGAACATGTTCTCATATGGGTACAGGAGACCTGAAGGGAGGCCACTTCCTTCCCCAGAGCTGAAATGGCAGGGACTCACCCTCCAGGCTCTCTGTAGCCAGAGTCCCCCTAACCCCAACCACCAATGTATGTGTGTATATGAGCTGCACCTGCCCTGGGGAAGCGAGTGAGCTGGGGGGCCAAGGAATGGAGATGGGTGGATGCAGGGAGCGTAAGATCCCAGGCTGGTAGCATCGATGGGGCACATTCAGAGAAAGAGCAGGTTACTTTGCTGTGCCAGCTTTGCCCTGGGTTCTTGGCTGGGGCCCCAAATATAGTTTTCCTGCCCACCCAGTGATTCTATAAACTCCCAGAGATCTTTTCATCCACCCCCTTCTCTGTTGAACCTTAGAGGCAATAGAACATGGGCTTGATCCCTTGTTCTGTTATGAGCTTCATGAATTTGGGAAAGTCAGTTAACTTTCCTGCACCTCGGTTTCCCCACATGTAACAGGAGGATAATGCTCCATTTCTATCAATGGTTCATGTAAGGATTAATGAGTTAGCAGGTTGGATGAAAGTACAGACACATGAAACTGTGAAGTGACTGCATGGGTGGTAGGGAGAACCCTGGAGAAGATTTGGACACAAAGGTGCCTAAAAACCTTACCTCAAGCTTCTCACACTCTCCTGGGCCTCTTCTCACCCAGCCAGCCCCACTGATACATCTTTCCAGCCATCCAAAGTCCACACTGTACTCAGGATTTTCCTACATGCCGGGTGTGGACCCTGGCTGTTCCCCGCCACTGGACCCAGTCTTGTGAATTTTAAGGTCTTCGTAGCCATCCCCTCTTCTACTCCAGCAACTTCCATTCAACCTGTGGTTGCAGCAATAACTTCCAAACCTCTACTACTGCCTCCAGAGACGGTGTCCAAAGCTAAGTTCTCAGCTCACAGCTCCTTCCTGCACTGACAGCGCCCTGCACCATCTCACCTCCATCCACCATGTGGTCTAGTTAATGTCTTTCTTCTACTAGCAGAGCTCCACACAAGTACTCAGCAGTTCCACAGCACAAAGCACAGTAGCTGCTCTTTCCCTATACTTATCCATTCCCTTGCTGAGACCCCACATGTCTCCAGAAGTCCAGCTCTAAGTGTCAGGCACTCCCTGATCCTCCAGGACCCTTCTAGGCTGTCCCCGCACATGCGATGTGCCCCTCATGAAGGCAGTAATGCCCTGTGGGTAAGAATGACGTCTGCGTATCCCCCTGCCTGCCCTGGGGCATAGGGGCTAACTATACCTCTGAGTCTCAATTTTACTGTCTGTAAAATGGGCATAAAGCAGTAAATATATCAGGAACACTTGGGGAGCTGGGGGTGAGTTGGTGCACTATACAAAGTTCTCTGTGGTATCTGGCTCCTGGAAAATGACCACACTTGGTAGCTCTGTGGCTAATACTCTGCTTAGCTGAGTAGATCACATTTCTTAGGGGCTAACTTGGAAGCTGTCTCCCACCTGGGCATTATCTATCTGTAAGGAATGAGGCTGTGGGAGGGTTGGGCTGTAGCATACACAAAATTGACAGGGGCAGAAGCTGGAACTTTCATCTTCTTCCCCTATGCTTTTCTTCCCTGTGTTCTACCCAGACGAAGACTTCCACTGGACAGGCTCACAGAGAAGGAGGGCGCGGTAGCGAGGGGAGAAGGAAGTGTGGACAGCATAGGAGCAAAAAGAGACTAGTCACCTCAGCAGCACAGGGTCATGGCAACGACCTCCCAACCTCCCCTACCCCCAGAAGTTACAGGGCAGGCAGCACTTAGGTCCCAACAAAGAAAACTGCTCATTAGATACAGGGGCTAACTGGCACTGTTTGCCAGTGTTGGTGGCACCCTGCCTTCCTGCCCTTTTTTTCAGTTTCTTGATTGACAGCATGAGGTGAGTGATCTGGTTTGTGCTCCAGCACCTCCTCTGGAAGTCTTTCCTGTCTCTCAGAGTCCCCCACCACCACCCCACTGCATCCCGTAGTCCTTGTTCACCTCCATCATTGTACTGAATCACTCTGTTTCTTTTGTCTGTTGCCTGTGAATGAGGCCTCAATGCCAGCTTGCTGACTGGCACACAGTGGGTATTTAATAAATTGGTGGAATAAACACTGGACTCAGCTCTGCTATGAAGAGGAGACACAGTCACTGTCCTTGGGAAGCTCCAGGCTGATTGAGGAGAATAAGGAGCAACACAGGCTGGAGTAGGAAGCAAAGCAGAGCTTGTTGGGGCCACAGGCTGTGGGGCTGAGATGCCTCATCACCTCATTTAGCCCTGTTCTTCATGCCAGCCACTATCAGGGACCCCAATCTCCGTGCCTCACCTACTCAACTCACAGTATCCTAAAAATTAAACTCTCAGATCTGGGATAGAGCGTGGAAATCATTCCTTCTGCCTGCACACCTAGGTGGGGGACCTCACTGCCTCCTCAGAAGATCTGTTTTAATCTTGCCTGGGAAGCATGTTTCCAGATGATACAGAGATCCTTCACTGACTCTAAGTCCCCTTCCCTCTGCCTCCTCAGAGCACAGGCTTTCTGGGCCCAGCAGAGCCCTCCGCTGGCACAGACAGGGGAGTGCCACTTGCATGAGAGGCAGGCACTGCTGCTTGCCCTCTAGCCATCTCTCCAGGTAAAGGCTTCAGCCCCTGAAAGCCTGGCCAGGCACCTGCCCACATGTGTGATATATGCGGGAGCTGTGCCACTGCTCAGAGACCTTCAGAGAAGTTGCTGCGGTGTCCAGGATAAGGGGCTTCAGACAAACAGCACATCCTCAGTCCCCACCCACAGGGTCTCAGGAGGTTCTGCTGCTGGGCGGGGCTAGAGATGTGGGGGAGCTTTCAGGGTGGTCAGTGATTGCTGCCACGCCCTAACCCTCACAGAACACTCCAACCTCACTTCCATAGACCTTCCACAGGGCATAGACTTCGGTACTCCCTACCCCACCAATGCCAGAACCACCGCCTGAATCAAACAAGCCCACCATATGCTGAATGACTCCAATCGCCTCTGCTGCAGTCTCTCCAGCGTTTGTGAGGAAGAAAGCAAACACACACTGTTCTTAGGAGGTGGGCGGCGGTCCCAAGCATTACCTGGGCACAGAAGTAATGCTGCTCACAGCCCTGACTCAGCCAGAGAGCCAGTAGGGTGCATCAGGTTAAGGTGAGGGGACATGCCACACTCTGGCCCCAAAGCATCTATCTATGCTCTGTATGCCTCCTCTTCACTAGGGCTCACCCCACCATTCCTGCCACCTGCCCTCCTCCTCTATAGTGTAGAGTCTAACTCTAGGGGGTTCAAATTGGTGTATACAGCACAGACCAAACAAAGAATATGCCCTTAAAAAGGGGGGGGTGTAGCATACAATATAGGAGAGGGTTGCTCTCAAAATGAAAGGATTTCCATCTCCCCTCTCACAGCATGGTGCACTGGGATTGTGGGCAAACCACTGGCCCACTGAGGTGTGGAGCTCCATGAGATTGGAACAGAGGGAGTGCTCTGTTTGACCCTCACCCTCAACAAATCTCTAACTCCAGATCCAGAGCCCTCCCCACTCTCTAAACCTCCCTCCTGGGTGGCCGAAGCAGAGTCCCCCAGGAGGGTCTGGGGGCACTCACCAGTAGTGTTGTACTTGACACCGTTGAAGTACTCCGGGCACGGCCTCACCACCAGGGCTCCGACCACGCTCAGAGGCCAGCACGTCCCAATCTGGTCCAAGGTTGCATTGCAGTAGGAGTAGGGACCTGGCGATAGGAGAGGGCAGAGCTGGAATCAGAGGGGTCTCGGAGAACGCGGGACGTTGGGGGGCGCGCGCAGAGCCACCGAGCCGCGGGGACCCTGGGCGCTCCCAGAACGGGTCCCTCACTGCTTGGGTCCGTTGGCTGCCTGCCTACCCTCGGGGTTCAGGGGCGGCACCCAGTCGTCCCAGAGCTGCTCTTCGGCCAGCTGTAGGCTGCAATTGTCCTCCAGCAGGCTGTGGAGCAGCGCAGCGTCCATCGGTGCCGGGAGCCGCGCGCCCGCCGAGATAGTGGGACTGCTCGATCGATCGGAGTGGCCGAAAGGCACATGAGAGGGAGTGTGCCACCATAAGAGAGTGGCGTCCGGCCCCCCTCGCAGCCGGCAACCTGCCTGCGAGTCTTGGCTTGCGGGTTTGACCGCCCGGAGCTAAGTCGGGACCTTCCCGGAGAGGAACTGCAGAGCGTGCTAAGAGGCCAGTGCACTGCTCGTTCACGGCCAATGGCGGCGCCAGGGGGCGGGGCCGGCAGCAGCCCCCGCCGGCCCCTCCTGCAGCCCTGGCCAGGGGCTGTCTGCCCGCTCAGACCTCTCTGTGCTGAGAGAACTGCGAGGCTGGAGGTCGTGGGCCTGGGGTGTTGTTTTGCCCTGTCTAAGAGTCGCAGGTTCTGGGGTTGCCAAGTGCACCCAACCCCGCGCGCCCAGAGCCAAGGCCAACCTCGCCAGCCAACATCACCAAGAGCCAGAGTTGGGAAGTTCTCTGTCTTGAGTTTCTTGTCCCCATCTTAGACACCTTAAGGGAGCTGTGGTGCAGAGCTGTGGTCTAGAAGAACCTCTTTGGTCTCCTGAAGAAAATAGATTTGGAGGGGCCATAGAAAAGCCTAGTGAGATCAGTGACCTGAATGGGCGAAGACTTGGGCCAGGCCTTGGGAGCTGGGACGGAGAGGGCTTTCAGAGGGAGAAGCAGCCCAGGTAAGGAGGGACTGGAAAGAGGAGTGGATGGGTAGCTTCCAGCAAGAGCCAGGAATTAGGTTTAACACCTGGTCTTCTGTGTAGGTGACTGGGAGAGAGGGGTAGAGTTGCCTCTGAATGAGATAGGGAAGCCTGGGGGAGTTGCTGGATGAAATTACTGGAATGACTTCATACACTTTGCTGGGTCTTACTGGCCTGGTGTCAGAGAGAAGGACATGAGAAGTGGGTAGGGCCACCGGCACTGGTTTTCCACATGAGGGTGTGTGTTTATAGAGGAGATCCGGCCCCATTGCAGGCTGGAAGAGCTGACAACCTGCAGATAGACTCTGCCTAGGTCTCCCTCAGGACTGCCACCCTTGTAATGTGTTGCCTCTCCTCCCTCACAGTGCCCGGGGAGGTCTGAAGATCATGCCCGCCGAGTGGGCAGATCAGGGCTCAGGAGGCAGGGAAGGGATATAGATGCCCCACTCTGCTGGGTTCTGGTTTTGCCTCTGCTTCTCCCTACTCTCCCTGCATGTTACCCTGGTTCTCCTGCTCTCACCTATGTAGTTGAAATGTTCTCTGAGGCCCCACCCAGCTCTGAGAGTCTTTGGTTCTGAGTTGTGAGAGCCAAAGCCTGAGGAATACACTGGTGTGTGTGTACTTCTATCTTTAGAGAGAGTGGGGAGCTCAGTCCTGGCTAGGTTGGAGGCCCCAGGGGCTAGGACTGTCTGTCTGCCAACCTCTACTGAGAACTGCCAGCGTAGGCCAGGACCACCCTGAGCCTGCGCTCTGCCCTGGACATGCGGAGGGACTGAGGCTGGCTGGGCTACCTTCCTGTTCTCCAGTCTCACTGGTCCCCACATTAATGCTGTTGTCATTGCTCAGGAAGAGCTGGAGAGTGAGAGAACACTGAGACCAGGGCTGAGCACTGAAATCTCTCCAGGTAACTGCTGGCAAGTTCAAGTGCAGACCAGCCAGCCAGGTCTTTCCTCTGCTTCCTGAATGGACATTAGAGCCCTGACTGAGCCCCGGGCTGTAGCAGTGGTAAAAGTTCCTTGGTGTCTATAATAAGCTAGAAGTAGGGGAGCATAGGTTGAGACCAAACCCCCAGACCCGAGTCCTGACTGGAACCCTCAAGGGAGTGCTGTCCTCAATCTCAACTGAATCGTGCCCCACAGGGTCCCATCTACCTCAGAGGGCGACTGACAGATCAGCTCTTGTTTTCACTGGGAAATCCTCTCCTTAATGCACAAACGAGGGGCCTCTAACACCCATGACAGCACAGGGAGGAGGAGAGAAATCAAGCTATGCTAAGTTATTAACTTGCTCATCACCAAAGCACAAGGGAAGCAGCTATTTCAAGGGATGAAGTGTCCTATGACTAGAGGCCAAGGATTGTTTATCTCTGTGCAACCTTCTACAGAAGAAAGAGTTGGTCTGGGTGACCTGGATTGCTCTCAACCAGGAGCCCACATGTAATCAGTTTCTTCTGGAGAACGCCTTTTTGATGGTGGAGCCAAAGACTATTCTGCAGAGTCAGGACCAGAGCACAAATCAATAGATTCAAGTTTCCCTGATGTCCGGGAGGTAGGATTCTTCTTGGATCTTATTACTGGCATGATTTTCTGCTACTCTAGATGCAACCGTGAGGAAACTGGAAAAAGTTGTGGTTTTGAAACAAGATGGTTTTACAAGGTGTTTGTGTTTGCAAATAGGTAAATGGGAAGAAGTGGGAAAGAACTAAAATTTTCCTCAAATAGATTAAATACAATTACAAATGAACAGGGGCCTGGGGTAATTTTGCTAACTTTTGCTGGTCTACTTGGACCACAGATAGATGGGATAGAAGAAAGCTTCCATGCCAGGTGCTAGGAAAGAGGCATTTGGGACAGTCGATGCATCCCTAGGCCAGTGGACAAAGGGGGAAGTTGACAAGTAAGTTCAGGGAAACAAGGCAGGAACAACATGAAATGAGCTATGTGCCTTTGAGTACCTATGATGTCAGCAGACAGCGGCTAGTTCCAGACAAGGCCCCCCAGTGCACAGCCTGATACCCTGCATCAAATAGGCATGGAGAACATAAGAAACACACATGTTTTCATAGCATCCCACACATTCTCTCACATCCCATGTCAGAGAGAAAACAGGATTTGAGGGACGGGCTGTCTTTTTGTCTCAGGGGCCCCGCGCTCCATGGAACTGAATAGACGGAACAAAGAGGTGGACTTTCCTGGGAGTTACAAAGTAACTGCTTGACACGGAAGATTGAGGTACTCGAAGGCATCCCATTTTTGCCCTGTAGCTCTGGGGGCAGATTCCCCAACCAGACACACCCACCTACCCTTCCTTGGGACAGGGGAGAATCTGGTGTCTTCATGTTGAACTATAGGACCATACTGTGGAGTCAGGAAGGGTTGCCAGGAACCTTCCAATCCTGTATTTCATTTGCAGATGGGCAAAGGGGAGTCCAGAGAGAAAAAGGAATTTCCCCCTCCCACCATGCCTGGGCCATCCTTCTCTCTGCATAGCCACAAGGGGCTGCCTGTCTCCTCCCCTGGGCAGATGAGGTGAATTTTCTATTTATTTGAATTTTCTAATTGCTCATTGCACAGAGTAGTCTCCATGGTTGTCTTCCCCCACTGCCCCTCCTGCTCCACTTGAGATGCCCTACACAACAATCTGGAACTTGGCTACATCTTTGCACATGCTGTTCCCTCTACTGGGAATGTCCTTACTGCCCCAGTTTGTGTCCTTAGCCAATGCCTTAAAATGTTCAGCTTAGGGCCCTCCCTGGTGGCGCAGTGGGTTAAAGCACAGCACTGAGAATCTAAAGCCGTTTCCTCATGAGTTCGATCCCCGCCTGCCCCGGAGGTGACCACATGGCATGGCAGACCTCTCCTGACCCGCCCGCTGCTCCCCTCAGCAGTGTACTTCGTCGATCTGCCTGTTCTGCTCCCCACTCTGTCTCTGGTGAAGACTCTCACTGCCCCTGAGCCTCTGGTCTGTACCCCAGTTCTGTATGCACAAATAAATAAATCTTAAAAAAAAACATTCAGCTTAGCTCTTACCTCCTTGTCTTATCTGGGTTGGTGGTCTCTCTTGGTGTGCCAACTGCTGGGGCTGGTCTATGCCACACTAGGTTGCCAGTTTTTCTCTTATCTCCTCTGTGAAACCTCAGGGACAGGGCTGTCCCTATCACTGGCCCAGCACCCCTCTAATGCTCCAGGTCTGTGCTGAGTGGGTCAAAATCAAAAGAATACATGGCTTGACGGTGACCTTGTTTCCAGAATAAGGCTCTTTTTCAATTTGGCCATCCCAGGGGTGTATGTGTGTTGGTGAGTTATTTCAAGAGATCCTTGAATCCATTCAGATCCTCGTCTGCCTATGAACCAAATAATACACCTCATAATATGTGCTCTAATAGATGCCTCTGTGATGAATAAAATAGAAATAATCCATTTAAAGCTGCCTGAAGTCTCTTGTGGTTATGTTTTTCCATTATTTGGACCTCAGGGGCATATCATTTTAATTGATCATAGACTTTGATTCATGACCCTTTATTATCACTAGCCCATGAATGGCCTAACTTCACTCTATTTTTGTCTCTTCTTTTATGGAATTTTGTATGTAGCAGCACATCTAATGAATCTGTCATCCAATCTGCAACTAGATTATTACCAATCATTTAGATATTTGTCTATATATTCCTTCTCCAGAGGGAACATTCTCTTGAAAATAGTGTTTATCATTCTCTTGCTGTTAGTTTTTTCAGTTTTATCATACATATGTCTAAATAGTAGATTGGTTTTACTTGTCTTTGAACTTGATGTTAATCATTATGCATTTTCTCAATCAGTGAACACTGAGGAAATAGCTCCCACTTGGGGATTTAAGACACTGTTCCCTAAGTCCAAGGGTATCCTGAAATCCTATGTGTCCCACCTCAGGGATGTGACTGATGAAGGCTGACATGCCCCAGGGGGACTGCTAGGCGGTGTAACCAGCATGCTGTGTGAATACTTAGTGAATGGGAAAATGTTCATTCCAAATTATAAAAGGGAAAGGAAAAAGCAGGTTACAAAACTGTGAACACAGGGTCATCCTGGCTTTATAAAAAAGTGAAAGTGAAAAAACATAAGAATCTCTGGATTGATAAACTCTTAGGGGTTTGGGTTTACAAACATAAAAATTCCAGAGTTAAAGGCTAGTGAACACTTACTGTCTTTTGAAAATATTTTTCATATACATGTATAATTATATAATATAAAATGCAGAGATTATTATAATAATATAATAATTCAGAGATTATT